AGTTAAGCCAAGTCTACAGAGCCAATAGTGATAGCTTCTACTGATCCAAATTCGAAAAGGGGAATTCTGGAAGGTTCTCCTAAAATGGAAAGAAAAGAACAGAAAACAGCATTACAGTAAAAAACAAAACAAAACAAAAACAAACAAACAAAACCCCCAAAACTTTGGCCAGTTACAAAAACTACATCTAAATTTTTCCTGGACACAATTTCTATTTTCTCCAATATGGAAATATTTTTGTTAATCTGGAGAGAAACATCGTCCTAAATGAGATTTCTTTTAATTCATGTGTTCTACTTGAGATAGTCTTATTTAGACCTGTTACCTCACCAATTTTTTAAAAATAGTAAACATTTTATTTTTACAATAATAACATTTTGCGTAATCTTGGGGATCAGTGGTAGAGCACAGCACTCTACCACTGAGCTCTACTCCAGCGCAACTATTTAAGTGTAGGAATCTGAGTTGGGAGAAATACTAATCCTGCCTCTAATAAAACACAGTAAGGTTAATATCAACACATGCTTTAAGTTTCCTTTTCACACAAATCTTTTTTGTTTTGTTTGTCATATTTTTTTTTAGACAGGGTCTTACTATATAGTTCAGGCTGGCCTTGAACTTACTATGCAGCCCAGGATAGCCTTGAATTCACAGTGATCCTCCTGCCTCAGCCTCCCAAATGCTATGATTACAGGCATGCTATATTATGCCTGGCAAAAATATCATTTGTAATCGCAAGTTTTATATATTTTATCATTCTTTTTTATTGTTATCTGGATAGTACATAATAAATTGTGCACTGAAGCAGAAGAAAATATAATAGATTTTTAAGGTTGTAATAGGTTTTAGCCATACAAAATCAGAGTACATAAAAATAAAACAAAGTAAGCAGAAGAATTTGCTTTTCATATTCTGTATTCATTGTAAAAATTTTTCAAAATAATAGAACTTTTGTAGAACACTCCTCCAAAATGAAATCCTTTTGGTTAACCTGGTTGATTTTCCTTTTCAGTTGCACCATATATTATTAAAGCTTTCCCAGGCAAGAGTATATTGTCCTCTGTATTAACATGGCAGAAAGTCATTTCTCAGGGTCCGAGAAACACATTTCTTAGCTATTAGGAGCTATTAGGAGCCCATCAACTAGGTGCCAGCTCTGTGGAAGACTCAGCAGAGTAAAATAATGGCTCTGATAGCATGTTGGCATTTTTATGATCCCTAAACATTCACATGAAAAATTTAGTCCTGCCTCTGGTGCTTCTAGAATGCCAAAGAGGTAAATGTTTCTAGAAGCTGAAGAACTATTTTTGCATTTGTTAAATGGATATTTTATTATTTATTACAGTTGCTACCATGCCCTGATTTAGAAGCACAAATGGACATTAGCAAACAAGGGATGAGTCTCACAAAGGGCTAATTTTTCCAAATCATCATATAAGAGAAAGCTACAGAAATTACAAATTATGTAAGAAAATACGAGTGAGTTGAGTTTTATTTAATATACTGTGGCTTTTTAAAGAGTTTAATGTGTCAGCAAATAGTATCTTTTCAAAATAGTCTGAGTAGTTAGTCATGGATATCAGTTATTGTACTGAGCTATAACACAGCCACTCTCCCACTTCCTCTCTAGAGTGGCATTGCATTCTTTGAGCCCAGGAAGCATTGTCACCATGACCATACTGCTTGTACTCTGTGAGGTGGGGCATATGCTTTAGGTGGGTTGGTAGGCCCAGAATGGGGTGGACATGACTACTATGAGGGAGAAAAGCTTGTCCTGAGAAAAGACTAGAACACGAGAAGTGGGGCAGAGGGAGAGGGAGAGGGAGAGGGAGAGGGA